GTCCTTCTGACTTTCAAATAAATAAAAAGAAAATAAGCTTAAAAAAATCTTGGCATCAGCATGTCCTGATGTCCTGATGTCCATGGTGGTCACCTGGGCTCTGATGTCCCCTGTTCTTCTCCTGTCTGGAATTGAAGATAGCTTAAGTTCCCAGAACTGAGTTTGAATGCTGGCCTCACTGTGGGCTGCCTGGACACAGCTGGCTGGGCTACCTGCTTGGGCAGTCTACCTGAGAGAGGCAGCCCTGGCACCTGGTACTCTGGTCTTTGGAGGGGAACCATCCCTGGCTGCTCTTTCAGCAACCCTTCTACCCTTTTATTTGTTTGCCTATTTAGCTTGCTTGAAAGAGAGAGACTGAGACTTGCTTTGCTTCCCAAATGTCTTCAACAGCCATGACCTGGCGGAAACCTGGAAGTCAAGAACTCAATCCAGGTCTCCCAAGGGAGTGGGAGGGACCCAGGGCCTTGAGCCATCACCTGTGGCCTTGTTGGGTGCAAACTGGCATGAAACTGGGGTTGGGAACAGAATGGGGACTTCCACATGTATTGCTGGTGACTCAGTGGCAGCTTTACTGCTGGGCCACATCTCTGCCCCTTCTCTGCCTAACCTGAGGTCTCAGCCCCTCGGCCCCTTGCAGGTGGCTGGCAAGGCAGCTGGCTCCTTCCCCAAGCAGGACACGCCTCTGCAGCTGCCTGCGCTCTTGCCCCTGTTGATGTTTTCCCATCCTGGAAGTTGGGAGGATGGGAAGAGAGGCCCTGGGGTCCAGAGGGCGGGGCCTCAGTCCTGTTGTGGCTGCAGAGGGATGGGGGGGGAGGGAGTGGCGGGGGCGGGGAGACAGGAAACCGAGGCCTTTCCGCCTATCACAGGCCTGGCTGAGACAGGGAACCAGGCCTGTGACTCATCCCTCCCCACTACAGGAACCGGGCACACTGGGGCCGTGTGTGGGGCCAGCAGGCCAGCTGTTTGCCCACTTGCCAGGAGCCCCTAGGAGGATGAGGCCTGTAGGGGGAGGTAATAATACGGGGGTGGGGAGGAGAGGGGTCAGCACACGGCTTGGAATGCCTCAGAAGTGGAGGCCTACGGCCTCAGTTTTCCCAGTCACTACCAGGGCCACTAAGGATGGCCTCCTAGAGCAGTCCTTGCATGCCATACTTTTGGCTCCTTCTCCACCAGCAGCCTGTCATGTGGCCAGCACTGGCAGTGCCTGCAAGCCTCTCCCCCACCCCAGCTCATGGCTTAGGACCCCCTGGTGCTTCTGGAACTAGGTGCTGGGTGGCAGGATTCAAACCCAACCCCATCTTACTGACCAGCTGCCACCACAGGCTGTCCCCGCCTCCCTGGCGCCTATGGATAACTGCTCAAGGATGCTTGGGATACTCAGAGTGCACCCCCAGGGGCTGTGGCGGGGCTAGGGGCACTTGTGAACCCTGGAACTGGCATAGAGAACTCATCAGATCACGCTCCCCACCTCTGCCAGCACACACACCCCTAGAAGTATTCTGTAGGCCATGGCCCCAGGAAACCTGTCCTACCATTTTAGTGGGTGTGACATCTGGAGGGTGGTCTATACAGGGGGCTCCCCAGGAGTCCCTCTAGAACTCCTGGGCTGGACTGAGTATACAAAAACTTGTAAGTGACATCTTTCGCTTTTCCCTTTGGCTGCTGGGGAGCTCAGAGCCCTTTGTGTAGCTGGCCAGTAGCTTGAGTTTTATATGCTCAGCTGATTCTTGACTCTTACAGACTTTTGTACCCTTACTTATTTCTTCCCTTGCTTTGTGTGCCCCCCCTCCGCCCCGCCTTAGGAAGACAAGAAAAAGCCACCCCTTGCTGCCTTTTGTGGGTTTTAGCCTTCACTGAACCAGCATCTGGGGTGGATGAGCCCTGGTTCCCGAATACCCTGGATATGCATCCCCTGCTCTGCAGGCTCCGCCCCAGAGGCCTGCAACTCCTCCCTCCCTGCCCAGTGCCCCTGCCCCCTGCGCCATCCTGTCCTTGGGACCCCAGCACCTTGGGGCTCATCTACCCTGGTCCAACCCCCATCATACTCCACCTCCTTCCTCTGATCTTTCTCCCATCCATTTCAGGTTTTCTCAAAAGGTTATTATTATTATTATTATTATTATTATTATTATTAGTGTGGGAGGGGTCTCTTGGGGTAGGGGTGGGGGAAAGTCTGTTGTCTGTTGGGTGTCCCCTGCTACTCCACTGCCTCACCCTCCTGCAATCTGCACCTGTCCTTGGTGGCACGCCTGGGCAGAGAGCCCCATTCAGGGGAAAAAGCAAGAACTTCAGCCAGTGGCTCTTAGAAGTAGGGGAGAGGTGAGCTGGTTGACGATGCTCCGGGCATAGGCTGTAAGGAGGCGTGCAGTGAGGTACCAATGGCTTCTTCTCACCATCATTCTCCAGCTTTTGGGTGGCGTGACTTGTTGGTGTCCCCCTACTGACCCAGGAAGCTCAGTGTGAACTGCTCCCCACCCCCCACCCCAGGGCCTGGTGCTCTCCGCCCTCTCTGGGAGCACCTGCTGTGCCTAGCTCAGTCCACATTCTGCCAGTGGTGGCTCAGGCATACATGAGTGTGCACACGTGTGTGTTCACAGCCCCCCTCTTTTGGAAAACCACGAGTGGCAGGCTTTCACGCGCGTGTAGCCATCAGTCATCCCACATCTTGGCTGGCTGTCCCGTGTTGCCTTTTATGAGTGTTTTCATGGAACTTTTCCTGATGGAGTCCCGGGGGCAGGCCCTGGGGTCGGGGAGGCTGTTGGGTGGGGTTAAACTTCGAGAGAGCAGAGGTGTCTGTGCTTGGCCTTCAAAAGGTCCGGGAATGTTCTAGATCATGTGTGGGAAAAGAGAGACTGTGTTTCAAACGGGGGCTGTGGCCGGGTGGGATTCAGAGCATTCCCATGCTCACAGCCGGCAGGATCCATGGAAAAACCCAGGCCCAGAGAGGCGAGGGGGGTGAGTCCAAGGTCGCCGGCCCGAGGAAGGCAAAGGCTGTGCGGGCTCTTCCTGCCTGAGGCATTCCGTTCAGGGTGCCTTCCCCTGCTGGAGCGGATGAGACCCGGGAGGTGGCCTGGCCTGGCCGCCTGTTGCTGCTTGCTCGGCCCAGCCGAGGAGGGGAGGGGCGTGCGCCTTCACACCTCGCCGCATCCTGCGACCTCGCCTTCTGCTGCAGCCCAGCAGGGCCTCGGATTCCCAGCTCAGAGATGCACGGCCCGGAGGCCGCGCTGCCGGGGATGGCCACCGGAGGGCAGCAGAAAGGTCACTGCAGTGGTCCAGCCCACGACGCCGGAGGAGGAGGCGGCAGAGGGGCGACAGGAAGACAGGAGGCGTGGGTGGACAGAGGCCCTGGCTGAGTGTGCTCCCCCAAGACAGAAAGCAAGCCAGACATTTACTAGTGAGAATATGTACTGATGGTTGATCAGCGCTGTTCTCGCTGTTCTGTTGACTAATTAGTTCTCACAGCACCTTTGTTAAAACTTGATTCTGCCTGGGAAAGTAAGAGGCCAGAGAGATGAAAGAATCGGTGCCAGCGTCCTCCACCCCGCCCCACCAAGCCGGTGACTAATTGGATCAAGCTCCACAGAGCTGGTTCCAGAGCCCACGAGTGCATCCCAGCTAAAACCGTGTATGGGAAATACGAATCAAAGCGAAGTTTACTTTGGTGCCCAAAACTTTGAAAGTCTCGGCATAGGAGAGATCTTCAAACAGTGCATGGAAAATGTATACAATGGAAAAATTATGCTTGGATTTCAGAAAAAAAAAGTTTTTGCACCAAAAATGCACTTGACTTTTTGAAACCACCTTGTAGCTGGGGCATACACCTGCTGAATGCCAGGGTGACCAGGCTCCCGGCTCAAGCTCTCAGCTCTGCATTTACAGTTTCCAACACAGGCAAGTCGTGGGTGTGCAGGGGTTTGGCTCTGAAGTTCGACCAGTGCAGGAATTGCTGAAATCTGAGCTTCCTCCTGGGACTGAATGCAGTACCCTGGTGGGACCTCTGAGAACCACCACCCTGCTTGGAAGAGGAGGCCCTTGAGGAGTCTTTGGCAGTGGCCCTGGCCTTGGGGTCTCTGGTTTCCAGGGCAGATGCTTCCCGCATACCAAGGACATTTGGCCAGCCTGGGGCCCAGCTCTGCCAGGCTTCCAGGAGAGCAGGGTGACCGCCAGGAGAGCCCGGCTTTCCCCCATCCACCCATTCCCATGCCCTGGCCTTGCCCTCTCCTGCCTGGCTGTGGCTGGATCTTTTCCCCCAGTGGTCAGACTGTACCTACGTGGTGGGGCCGAGTGTCACTTCCTCTGGGGTTTCTCACCTTCAGTGACATCCAAGCCAGCAGCAAAGCAGCAGCCCCCAGTCCAGGACTTGACTTGTCTCTGGGTGGAGGAGTGGGCTGGATGGCAAGATGCCAACCCTCCCTCTGCCTCCACCTCACCCCCGGCTTTTTTTTTTTTTAATCAAAATCCTGCAGTGAATTGTAGTTTGGCCAGTGGGATCCCAGGGTCAAGTTGAAGACTGCAGGGGTTCTGTTTCCCACGCTGGTGGGGATGAGAGGAGGGGACTGTGAGTGTCCTGATGGGGGTTAGGGGAGAGGGGGAGACTATTTGGCTCCCCCAATTCCCTTGTGGGCTGAGCTTAGAAGAATTGGAACAGCCGCAGTTTGTCTGTCCATAAAATGGGGCGCTATGAGGGCAAAGCGAGCTGATGCCTGCACAGCAAGGGCATGCCCAGTTCACACATGTCTTCCTGGTCTGGCCACCTGCGGGATGCTGTGTTCTGTTAACATGGCTTTGCTTTTAAGCAAGGGCTGCTTGACAGCATGGGGGGAACCTACCAGGTGAGGGTTTAGCAGGCTCCTCGATGACCCCAGGACAGAGTTCCCGAAGTGCTGACAGGTGCTGAGCAGCCCAGGGTCCTGTGCTCTGACCTCCATAACCACTGCCAACAATCTCAAGGTCAGGAGTACGCCCTGGCCCACTGCCGCCTTGCATTTCAGGTAGTTGGCCTCATTCGTGCAGTTGGACGAAGTCCCTCCCTGGCCATCCTTCCAGAGCTGACCTTGGACCTGGAGACCTGGGGTGAGCTCCCCTGTTCTTGCCCACCTCCATTATCCCTATCTTGGGCAGGGAGGAGTGGGCATTACTGAACAAGCTGAACTGTAAAAGGCCAGGCTTTCTTCATTGCAGAATCCATTTGGGCTGTGCTTGGCCAGGCTTCCCTGGGGCGGGGGCTGTGAGGGGCGTGCCGGTCTTGGGCCATCACTCAGCCCTGGTGTGGGCAGAGATGCAATGCCTCTTTAGGATGAATGGGTGGGTTAGATGGGTTAGGACTTAGGGGCGGGGTCAGAGCAGGTACCAGGTTACCTATAGTTGGTGGGCGTGGGGTGGGGATGGGCAGAGCCCTTACTGCCTGGTTCTAAGGGGCAGGGGCACATAGCCCAGCCTCACCCTCAGAGCTCCACCCTACTTTCTCCTTCTTGCAGTCTGCTGGCCATAGGGCTGCTGAACAGGCTGGAACCACAGGCTAGGTCCAGACACAACGCAGGTGCCTACGGACTCCGCCACTCGGAGCTGACCCTCTTTGGTAAGTGGTTGACTTGCCCGTGGTAGTCTAGTCCCGTGCCCCACCTTGGGGCCTGCCAAGATGCTCAAGTTGGCTCCTTGCTCTGGGTCCTTCCTGTTCCCCACCCCCAGCCTCATTCCCAGCCCCCTTTTGTGTGCACAGAGAATCAAGGCCTAGAGGTGGAGCCCCAGGGGACTGGCCAGGCCTTGTCTCTGGGCTAAGACCTTTGCAGGCCAGTTCACTCAGTGTTGTTGGGGATTGGTTGCCTCAGTGGTCAGAGCAGACCCTGGGGCTGGGGGAAGGGATGCAGCAGATGGACTCTCCATCTATGCAGGAATCCAGAATCTCAGGGTGGGTGGGTAAGGAGGGGGCAACAGTGTACACATGGGGTCCCCTTCCCCAGCCCAGCCCAGCCCAGCCCAGCCCTTGGTGAGTAGGTCCTTCCTGCCTTGGGGCATGGGCTGGGCAGACAACTGGCAGGGATCCTTCCTCTGTCTGGTGGTGTGTGGGTGGAGTGGTGAGGGGCAGAGGAGGAAGGGGATGAGAGGGGAAGAGCCACTGTAATCACTTGGGAGCGAGTAGGACTGAAGTGTAGGAACTGGGGGTCCCCCTTAAGGAACTCATAGCTTGACAGGGAGGCCTCTGCAGCCAGAGTAGGTAAGACCCCCCCCCCCCAAGGGAACAGGGCATCTGAGGTCTCCTGCTGTATGTCTGAGGTCTCCTGCTGTGTGTCTGAGCAGTGATCAGGGTTTGTGTGTGTGTGTGGCGGGGGGTGGTGCGGGGGAGCACCCTGGGGAGCAGACCAGCATCCCAACTCCAGGGCAGGTACCTGACCCCAGCCACCTGTGTCTGCAGCCCTTGAGCCGTGCAGAAGCAGCCCCATGAAGGTGCCCAGCCATGCAATGTTCCTGGAAGGCTGTCCTCCTCCTCGCCCTGGCCTCCATAGCCATCCAGTACACGGCCATCCGCACCTTCACTGCCAAATCCTTTCACACCTGCCCGGGGCTGAGTGAGGCCGGGCTGGCCGAACGGCTGTGTGAGGAGGGCCCCACCTTTCCCTACAACACGTCCCGCAAGACCCACATCCTCATCCTAGCCACCACACGCAGCGGCTCCTCCTTCGTGGGTCAGCTCTTCAACCAGCACCTGGACGTCTTCTACCTGTTTGAGCCCCTCTACCACGTCCAGAACACACTCATCCCACGCTTCACCCAAGGCAAGAGTCCCACTGACCGGCGCGTCATGCTAGGAGCCAGCCGAGACCTCCTTCGCAGCCTGTACGACTGCGATCTCTACTTCCTGGAGAACTACATCAAGCCGCCGCCCATCAACCACACCACCGACAGGGTCTTCCGGCGTGGGGCCAGCCGGGTGCTCTGCTCGCGTCCTGTGTGTGACCCTCCCGGGGTGTCCCCCGACCTCATCCTGGAAGAGGGGGACTGCGTGCGCAAGTGTGGCTTGCTGAATTTGACAGTGGCCGCCGAGGCCTGCCGTGAGCGCAGCCACGTGGCCATCAAGACGGTGCGCGTGCCTGAAGTGAATGACCTGCGGGCCCTGGTGGAAGACCCTCGGCTCAACCTCAAGGTCATCCAGCTGGTCCGGGACCCTCGCGGCATTCTGGCATCTCGGAGCGAGACCTTCCGCGATACGTACCGGCTCTGGCGCCTGTGGTACGGCACTGGGAGGAAGCCCTACAATCTGGACGTGACACAGCTGACCACGGTGTGCGAGGACTTCTCCAACTCTGTGGCCACAGGCCTCACACGACCCCCATGGCTCAAGGGCAAGTACATGCTGGTGCGTTACGAGGACCTGGCCAGGAACCCCATGAAGAAGACAGAGGAGATCTATGGATTCCTGGGCATCCCGTTGGACAGCCACGTGACCCGCTGGATCCAGAACAACACGCGGGGCGACCCGTCCCTGGGCAAACACAAGTACGGCACCGTGCGAAACTCAGCGGCCACGGCTGAGAAGTGGCGCTTCCGCCTCTCCTACGACATTGTGGCCTTCGCCCAGAACGCCTGCCAGCATGTGCTGGCGCAGCTGGGCTACAAGATGGCCACCTCGGAAGAGGAGCTCAAGAACCCATCAATCAGCCTGGTGGAGGAGCGGGACTTCCGCCCTTTCTCATGACCACTGACCCTGGGGGTGGGGCTGGGGGTGGGCACATGGGAGGCTGGGGGACCAGGAGGTTTTGATACAATGGATGGGACCGTTTCTAACTGTTGCCTTACTCCCCTGCCTCCACCCTGCACCCCACCCCGCGCCCACTCCCCCAGCCCCCCATTTTTTTTGGTCTCTGGAATTTGCACTATGTGGAGGGGGTGGGGAGGGTGGGGGCTCACGAAGTCAGGGGGTATCTCCCATGGCCTCCCCCCACCCCCACCTCGTGCAGTCGCGCTCAGAGGCGGAGTCTGCACGTGGACCATGGCGATGTTTACAAGCACCCTACTGGCACGTACACAGGCGCCCCATGGGGAGTGGCACCTGCCAAGACACCGAGCCTGGGGACTCCCCTTCTCCCCCTTTGCACTGTCTTCCTTCCCGGAGGTCTGAGGATAGAAAGGGGCGAGGCCTGTCTCTCTCCCCCTGGCAGGAGTCACGTGCTACCCTTCCCCCTTTCCGCCTCCTGCCCCCACAAGTGCGGAAAAACTGCCCACCCGCCCCTGCCCTTGCCTGCCTGCCTGCCTGCCGGCCAGCAGGCTTTTACCGTGAGGTGAACGTGGCCGTGTCCGTTTCTTCCAGTCTGTGGTGATGCTGTCTGAGTCTTGTGGCTGCCCCTCCCCTCCCACCCCTCCGGGGACCTGCCGAGTCTTCTGGAGTTGCTGATTGACTGTTGTTTTTTGGGGGGATGGGTGGGGTGGGAGGGGTGGGAGATCCATCAATGATCCTTCTTTGTGCCAAAAAGAAACAAAGCAAAACACGAGTGGGTCAGTTTGTTAAATGAACATTGAGATGCTTTATTTGTGTGTTGTGTAAATAAAAGAGTGCCATGGTAACATCCGGGTGTGAAGGTGTTCTGATGGGGTCAGAGCAAGCCTGGGGTGGGAATGCGCGGTCTGGGTGCTCTGGAGGGTCTGGGTGCTCCTGGCTTTGGAGGAGGAGGAGGAGAAGAAAGGGAGAGGGGCTTCTCTGGCAAGCCTGCCCTTCAGAAGTCCTTTGACCCTGACCTTGAGACCCCATAGTGCCGTTGTGGCATGGATGTCAAATGGGGTGATAGGAGGTAAGGCTGTGTCAGATCCTGGGGTCCCTTCCCTGTGCCAGGGGCTACCATGGCTGTGGCTGGAGTGCTCAGGGCAGTGGCCGTGTCTCTGTGGGGTATCCACACCGGTGGGATACGTGTCAGGCCTACTTCCCCTCCTCTCCTTGGTAGTCCAGTAGGCACTTGTGAACAGCAGCTGCAGTTCTTATGCCAGGAGAGTAGCTGTCTGCCCTCTGTCTCCAGGGTGGCTGGGGGTCCTGGCGTTGTGGTCTGATGGTGAGGCAGTCTCCCCACCACCGGGTAAGGTGGCTGCGGGGGGGGGGTGGGACTGGCTGGTCGGAAGAAGGGCTTCCTGAGGAAATGGGGGTATAGCAGCTGGAGCAGAGCTGGAGCTAGTGGTGGCTTTCTTGAGGAACCTTATCTGCTTAGGATTTTTCTTTTCCGGTTTCAGTTTATGGTGGTAAAATACACACTGCTTACCATCTGCTGCCTTCACCGTTAGCCAGTGCATAATCTGTTAAAGCTCTTATAGTGCAGTGTGACAACTGCAGCCGGCTGGTCCGGAGCTCTGTCCAGCTTGCATACCTGGAGCCCTGCCCCCAGGAAGCACCAGCTCTGCATTGCCCACTCTTTCTGCCCCTGGCAATCCTACAACTCCAGATACCCACTCTAAGTACAGTAGGCGTGCTTGTGTGGCTGCTCATCTCACATAGGTGATGTCCCCAGGGTCAGAATTTCCTTCTTTCAAGGCTGAGTAACAGCTGGTAGTATGGATGTAAGGAGCTGAGCCATTTACCTCTCTCTCGCTGGATGCTTCTGTGTTTGGGAAACAGTGCTGCCGAGAACACAACTTTTCTTGGAGAACTGACTTGTGAGTGGGATTTCTGGATCTGGTAGCAGTTTGGTTCCTGGTGTTTGGAAGAGTTGCCATCTTGTTGTATTTCACATTTCACCCCGTGGTGCATAAGAGCTTTAAGCTCTTCAAGTCCTTGCCCACATGTGCTCTTGTCTGCTTTTCCTTCCTTCCCTTCTTTGATAGTAGTTGTCTGAATGGGTAGGAGTGAGAACAATAGGTTGTTTTCTTTTGTTCTCACTTAAAGTGCATGAGCCGTTTGTGTTGGGTGTGGTGATTCTCAGGGGGGCCCTGCCCTTTGGGTGCTGTTGCTGCTCCATCTCTTTAAGGTGTTGCCTTTGGCTTTGCGGTCCAGGATGGTTTGCCAGGCATTGAGAAAGAGAAAGATGAGAAATGAGGGTACACAGCCATGCACATCCCTGAACCTAGAATCACTTGCATTCATGTCTCATTGGCCAGAACCTGGTCACATGGGTTAGTTGCAAAGAAGGCTGGGAAATGTAGTCTTTTATCTGGGAGGCTGTAAAAGTTAAGGTGGCTGATGGGTCTCAAGCTCATCTTCTTATTCTGGGACACACATTTCTCTTTCGCAAAAAGGGAGACCACTTGTACCAGAACAAGGAAGCTGGTTTGGAAGATCCCTGGGCCTTATTTATTTACTTATTATTTTTAATTAGCTCCTGGTTCATAGGAGCTGCTTCTTGACTGTGGGAAGAAAGTCAAATGGTCAATTGGCTTTATCCTGGCATTGGTATCTCACTCAGCACACCTGACTGACTGTCCTGGTCGCTCTGGAACACATGCTCCAACAGAGGCCACAAGTGGCGCTGTGCACCTGTCCCCCAAGCAACACCCTGTGAGTTGCTCTGCTGTGAGTTGGTACTTGAGCCACAGGTGCCGTGTGTGTGTGTGTGTGTGTGTGTGTGTGTGTGTGCGCGCGTGCGCGCGTTGGCTTCGTGTTGGAACTGAGAAACATTGGAGCCCTGGAAGAGTTGGGAAGGATTATATCTCGTGTCCTCCAGGCAAATGCTGAGACTGGAGAGGTTAATGGAGTTGCCTGGATTATTCAGGAGATGGGATCCTCCCTTCTTTCTTCCGTTTCCTTGCGTCTGCCTGCCTCCCCTAGGTGTGAGTACTAAGGTCACAGACATTCCTTTAAGAGCCACTGTCTGGTGGAGGCAAACAAAGAGACAGATGGCCCAGTTATAGGCAGAGCATAGTACCCACAGGGTGTCCGTGCAAAGGCAGACCTGGTCCCCTCACTGACTTGGTCCTAGAAATAGCAAACTGCAGCCTTATTCCTCTAAGTGTCCCTGGGCTTGCAGCTTAGACAGGCAAAGGACTCTTTTGGGTGGTGGTGCCTGCCCTGAGTCTAGGAGCAGCTGGGGCTAGCCCTGTGGAGGAATGTTCTATGTTGAGGGAGGAGCAGGTGCAGAAACCCAGGACAAGGAAGGCTGGGGACATGTGCGGCCATGTGGACTGTGGAAAGGCGGTGTGGCCAAAACCAGGCCTTCCTAAACTTGGCTGTTTTGTCAGTTCTCTAAGGGAAATTGGCCTATCAGGGGACTCAAGGCCCGACCCACAAGGCAGAATCATGAGCAAGAAGAGGGCTTGACAGATAAAGGAGAAAGACCAGACTTTCAAAGTGTTTGTTACGGCCTCGGATGTGCCGGCTCACTCCTTCCCTCCCTCCCCTAGCCTCTTCCTGTGCCAAGCTTCCCATTCACCCTTCCTTCCCTCGGCTTCCTTCTTTTTTCTGATTCCTAGATGACACTGGGCAAGATTGTGGAGTTACAGCACCAGCTGTTCATACCTTCTGGTAGTCACGCCACTGGCTGCCATTCTCCTAAGCGGATGCTGAGCTGAAAACACTGCTTGCTGTGGCCACTGGGCAGCTGCAAGGGCAGCTAGGCAAGGAACAGGCTTTGGCACCTGTCGTTCCTAGCTGCCTCTTGGAAGGGAGTCCAGGGGAGCTTGCTGGAGATGGAAAGGTTGTAAGGTGAAGAAGTGGCCGTTGGCCAGCCAGTTCCACTGCGTGGCCATGATGAAAGTGCCTGAGTAAGGCTCAGTCAAGGTCAACCACCTGGATGAACCTGCTCACGTTTCTGACCATGACACTGTGGGTTGAAAATGGTTGCTTGTTTTGTCTTTTTGAGTTTATGTATTTTGTTTGAGAAGGATTGTGGGGAGAAACAGAGAAGAGAGAGACCCTCCATGTACTCCCCAAATGGCTGCAATTGCCAGAGGTGGTCCATGCCAATGTCAGGATGCTGGAACTACCTTGGGGTGGGGGGCAACAAGTTTTGACTCCTGAGACAGCCACTGTTTTCCCAGGCTGGTGCTAGCACGTCCCAGGAGATGGTGCTGAATTTTGTCCCCAGGATACCCCCTCCTTACCCTAAGTTCAGCCCAACTGATTCCACCCTCCGACATGTTGCTCCTGTTTCTTTGTTGTCATGCCATCTCCTGCCTTGTCACTTGTTAAACCTCTAAAGCTCATAGAGATAGATAGAGAGAGAGAGAGAGAGAGAGAGAGAGAGAGAGAGAGAGAGAGAGAGAGGCAGTGAACAGGTGTTTGTGGGACAAATCCTTCTCTGAATCACTCACTTCTTGCTGCAGCTGCTTCCTGCCGCACAAAGGCTTTCTACACTGGAAGTCATGGTCAGAGTGCCACGTAGGCAGGACTGTCTCCTTCCTGCCCCCAGCTCCCACTCCTTCTGTGTTATGTATGGATGCTCAGGGCCTGGAGAGTGAGGAGTAACTTCCTGACCTTGTCCATTAACTTGGGGCCCCTCTCCTACTGTGGGTCTGGGTTCAGGTGCAACCATTCCTTTTTGTTGTGAGTTTCCGTCGTTTGTATGCCACCACCTGTTCATCCTGGTTCTGCTCCTTGAAAGCCACAAAGATCCTGGACTCCCAGCTTCCCTTCCTTGGTATCCCAGGGAGCTCCCTGGGCCCCACTTCCTGTCATACCAAGAGGATATTGTCCAGAGGCAGACCTGCCCTTCCTGGTCCATGCCGTTATTGGAAAGATCCCTTGCCGAGAAGGGTTTCTCCCAGCAGGAGTGGCTTTCCTTGCGGGGCCAGGAGCAGATGGGGAGGAAGTCTCTTCTCACAGCCAGTGGGAAGGTGCACAAGTTTCAGCTTCCAGAAGCTGCAAAACAGGATGAATGCAGGTCCTTTTCCCAACCTCCCCTCTGCCAGGCAAGTGATCCGGGCCCATCAGGGAGTCTGCATCCATCAGCTGAGTGGTTGCTAATGTGGGGTTTGGATCTGTGTGCAGGTGCAGCTAGGAGGTGATGTGCATGTTGGGAGTCTGATTGGCCAGAGTGCCTGTAGCCTTCTACCCAGGTCACACATGGGGTCATGGTAAGCCTCCTCTGACTTCCGGTTCCCTCAGCAAAGCACTGACCTTACCCACCCAGGTCACCTCTGCTTCTGGGATTTGCCACCTGCTGCTGATTCATGATTGAATCAAGAACCATTTGGGAGCCGTTGGGACGTCAGAGTTCTGGATTCCAATCTGTGGTCTTGGGCACTCCACTTCACCCTGTTGAGTCTCCATGTTCTTATTTATAGAGAGTTCATTGTCCAATTTTAGTATATGTGCTGCCGAAGTGAGCATGAGAGCTCATTGTCAAAGCACATCTGGCTTCAAGGGCTACCAGCAAGACTGCTTATGGCTGGGAATTTAGGTTTGTAGAGTGCTGCTTGGCACAAAAGTACCCAGTGCCTGCCTCCGCCACCACCACTATTGTTATCATTAATATCGTCATCATCATTGTCATCATCATTGCTGTTGTCTTACTGTGCCTAGCAAAGGTGCCTGGAACATGGTAGTCATTCAGCTAACATGTGTTGAACAAGTATGTTTTCAGTGAGCTCTTCCAGTTGGAGTTGCTGCCACCAT